CTCTAACATTCTGTGATTCTGTGAATCTTCTATGTGGATATGGTGAGTTTGGGTGGATATTTCTGAGTGTCTGTTTTTCACAAGTAACTGTTGCCATGACATTCTATAAGTGTAAATTGGAAGACATGGAACCTTCTGTATACAAATGCCAAGTTTTCTCAGTTAAGATTCAAGAGAGTGCTATCATAACTGCTCCGAATGTGGTGCTACAAAGGTGTTGAATACTTTGAAATAATTACATTCTCTTCAGGCTCAGTATTTGGAGCAAATGAAAAGTTCATAATTTTGAATTTCCTTCAGAATGCTGGTTTTGGCATGTATGCCTTAAAGCACTTTCCATGTCTGGGATGCAGTAGAAGTCTGAATTGAATTTGTTTTATTTTGGAAATAACGCCTCTTCTCTTATGGAAGAAGCCTTCATAGGCTTAACTCCTGACTCACCTGTTTAATTCTTTTCTTAGGAATGTGCACAAGTCTGTTGTATACAAGTTGCAGTAGTATTAATTTTAACACATTTTATCATTGGAGTGGTGAAAGGAGTTTATTTTCCATTTTTTTCTCTACCAGTTAAATTTGATCTTTGTTCTCAGTATCAGGAGAAAGAAGTGAAGAAAACTGAAACAAAAGAAAAATCTCAAAAAAAAGAGTCTGAAAAAGAAGAAAAGAGCAGAAAAGAACAAAAGGGCCAAAAAAGTAAGTGCTAACTGCTAAAAAGAGAGAAGGGAAAGACCCTTCAGGACATTATCATATTTCTACAAGAGTGAATATTGTGTAGTTTTGTAACACATACAAGAAACAAGAATTTCTGCTTTTGTTTTAGGAGGCAAAAGTCTTCTGTTTATTTGCTTTGTTAATATATGCTTCATCAGAATGATGTATGTACTTTTCATGTAGGAAGCATGGAAGTATATAGAAATCTCATAAAATTTTTGTAGACAATTCAAGATTTTGCCCTTTCTTATTTAATATTGTCAGCTATGCTTCTGTGACATGTAACAGTCATTTATTTAGACAAATTCGTCCAATTATTGGCTATTTCCAGAACTGTTCTTTGATGATACCGTGGATATGCATTTCTCTGTGTTTAGAAAAACTAGTAGATGTTCCCAGCAGACAAACTTCTTGCCTCTTGCTCTAGCCACAATGATGAATTATATTATACAACCCTTAAAATATCGCCAGAACTGGATGATTTGATACATGAAGAAAAATATCTATGTAATATTTCTATTCTTAGTAGTATAATGGAGTATTAATAATCATAGAGTGGTTTGGGTTGGAAGGGACCATCATCTAGTTCCAACCCCCACCACTCTTGATCTCAGTAAAATTCTGGGTTATTTTATTGGATAAATTCCCTCACTACTCTGATGAGGGTGGACTGAGGAAACTAGGTAACTCCACCTTTGATAATCATGAATGGATACAGGAGGAGCTGATGCTTCAAATAGCTGTGGCTAGAGAAACATCTTTCACTGAAAGTAGCATAATAGGTGCTTACACTGTTTAAGAAGAGTAGTAACAAACAATGATTAATTATTGTTCCTTATACAGCACATGTCCTTTGTCTGTTCATCAGATACTGAACCATATTTTCAAAGTAGTCATTTATGCATAATTCTACACTACATTTCTTGAAAACAAGATGGTGCCATGTTGAAAGCAGTCAGAACTCAGATTTCCCAGGGAAGCTGGAGGTGAACTCGCTCTCCATTATTTTTGGTTATTGTGTTTAAACTTGCTTCTACGCTACAGCAATGATTAACTTATGGAAAGAGAATAGACCTTTTCTAAGTGGACTCTGGTCAGTCACTTTAACTTTGTTATGTAATAGTCTTCAGTGGCTCAAGTAGTCACTCTTGGTAACTGTCTTAATATTCTAGGCTTTAAGGACATCAAAAGTGCATTTGCCTTGTTTAATATAGCTTCAGAAGAAAAAAGTGAATATTCTGAGAATAACTGCAAAAGAGAAGAATCTTCACTAGAATATAAATTCATAGAAGAATTAAAATCAAAAGACAGCAAGGTGTACAAGGAAAGGAGGAACATAAGAGATGAAACAGACACATGGACTTACATTGCCGCAGAAGGTGATCGAGAAGTAGTGGATGTGTGTCAAATGGAGAACTCTGGTGAGCAGTAGACACAAATGCAGGGGAAAGTTGAGCACTGGCAGTTAATATTTTGCTTGCATCTTTTAGTGCTCCAATTCTTGTCTCTCCAGGAGGCTGAAACTATTTTTTCTTTTGAAACTCACTGATAACTTTTCAGTGTGTTGCTGATGTGTTTCTGCTACTACAGTAATGGAATGTTCACCATCTTTTATCACTTCAGCCTAGTTTATTACAACAAGTAAACACTTTGTTTCAAGTAGAAGCATTTTGTGTCCGTTTGTAACATAGCCTTCGTTGTTTGGAACCATTCCACGCTAACTTGCAGAGTCTATTTGAATGATAAGTAGTATTTGGTTAAGCTGCTGATCATTGAAGCAATGGTAAGCAATGAATGATTTTGAAATTTATAAGTTACTTATTACTTAGTTTATGTTTCTTCTTCCATAAATTCAAATACATTATAGATGGCAAGCAACAAGTCTTGAGTTTGGGTATGGACATGCAGTTAGAATGGCTGACACTAGAAGACTTTCAGAAGCACCTTGATGGAGAAGATGAGAATCATGTGTCAAGAGAACCAATATCAAGTAGTAAGTAGTTGCTGGGAGGAAGGGATGTTTCTGACCTGGTGCTTCAAAGTGAAATATCCTATAACTGCATTAAATTTATTTTCTAGCTCTCCTAAGGGATGCTGTTAAAAGTGGGGATTATATGACAGTAAAGGTGGCACTTTCTTCAAATGAGGAATATAATCTGGATCAAGAGGTAACCTTTCTGCAGTAGGTGTATTGGGGAGGGCAGGAGGGAAGAGTACAAATTTGGTTTGTTTGAAAAGTTTTGCCCTCTTGCTAGTAGCAGGTTTCTGTCTCACCTTGATAAAAAAGCACAAGGTGAGAAAAGGGAGTACAGAATTTGAGGCTTCAGTATTTTTTCTCCATTTCTTCCAAGGAAAAAATTATGTTTGATAGAAGCATCCCAGTAGCTGGATTTGTAGCAGATTTGACCACTGGATTTAACAGAATATTAAGTTTAGAATTTTACATGTTATAAGGAAAGATGATACTCATCAGGTCAAGTGGCTAAACTATGTAAAACATCTATACATGCCAAAATAAAAATTGAATGTTCTGTTTGACAGACTGGGACCACTTCACTCCATGAATAATTAGTTTTCTGCCAGTTCTTCATCAGCTTTGTTCTTACTGTTCTGTTGTTTGTTTTTTTTTTTTGAAGGATCTGTTTTCCTCTTATATAGTACTGTGGTTCCATTTCTGAGGATTATTCTGTATTTTCACTTGTGATCTTGTGTAGTTCTATTATGTAGCATTTTGAGAACTACACATTATGCTAAGACTTTTGTAGCATAGTAGAAAATATGCCAAATGAACTACTGAGGCAAGCATGTGTTCTTTGAATTGTACTGTCTGGTGGAAAATGCAGGAATGAGTGAGGAGACTGGCCACTCGCAGAAGTCTTTTCATACTTATACTCTGATAAAATCCAAAAGCAGTGTTCTGGTAGCAGCTGACTTGAGCCATTGTGTTTTTCCTCCAGTGGCTGTTGATTTCTTTTTCCACTGTCTTGCTGTCTTCCCCACCCTCAATACCTTGCTGCCTTTCATCCTGGCTCATTTTAGTTTTCCTCCTTCTTGTTCTGCTCCTTGGAATGTTACAGATTTTGCAGATTATGGAGCTCAGAGTGTGAGGCCTGAGGACAAGAGAAGCGGGAGGTGATAGTTTGTCAGTATCTGGCAGCCATGTCTGTGTGAATTCTTCTGCCAGGGAGGGGGATCTTGGTGAAATCTGTTGGCGTGGTTGCAGTTTTTGTCTTGCAGCTTTGATTTATGTTAAAGTATTTTAGTTTTTTTTTTGTTTGTGGGGTTTTTTTGTTGTTGTTTTTAATAACAATGATTCTTGCAGCAGGACTCAAGTGGAATGACACTACTAATGCTTGCTGCTGCTGGTGGGCATGATGACCTTCTCCGGGTTCTAATCAGGAAAGGAGCTAAAGTTAACAGTAGACAGAAAAATGGAACAACTGCATTGATACATGCAGCTGAAAAGGTTGGCTTTGTTATTGTATTTGTGATTATTGCCTCTTTTACTTATGTTTAAAAGCAGTACACAATTTATTTCCCTTGGATGATGCCTGAAAAGTAGTTAGCAGGATATAGCAGGGAGACGTTAACTGCATAATTTCAGCAGCTGTGTTTACTGTAGTGTAAATAAATTCTGATCACAAACCCTACCCTGAGTAGAGAATATCATAGGGCTACCTAGAGAAAAAGTGGAGGCAAAGGATATCTCTGAATTTGTATGTCACAGGGGCTGAAGTTCTTGTGTTAGAATTGCTCGTTACGATCTCTGGCTACACAGAATCCAAACTGGGGTACTTGGAGAGCAAATCTCTGGTTAAGTGGGGTTTACTATTTGGGAGTTGGGAGGTGGAGATGGTGGTAAGCTCTTCTCAAACTGAGACCAGCTAGGCTACTAAGTTAGAGGATGTGTCAGGAGTACACTCTTTTGTTCAAGTTGGCTCGTGTTTTCCCATGTGCAGTAGATAAACAGTCAAAAGGGAGCTTGATTCCAGTTTGGTGATTAATGCAAACATGCTCTTTTCTTCCTGTGGTGTCCACTATTGCCAGATTTAGAAAAAAGTAAGAATTGTAAATACTTGTGGCTATCTACTTGCCTGGGTCTGAATTGCTCTTTATTAGGCCGTGTCAGAGAACAGTGTTAATTGTGCATGCCTCATGCTTTGGATTTTACTGATGGGTTTTAAATAAATGTCACTTTATATTCTGAAACAAAACCAGAATATTTTCTACTTACTTGTGTTGTGGTTTTGGGTTTTTTTTACAGAATTTTCTAACAACAGTAGCTATTCTTCTGGAAGCAGGGGCATATGTGAACATGCAGCAGAGCAGTGGTGAAACTGCTTTAATGAAGGTAAAGTCAATGTTTGTCCTGACATGGTTTAATATAAATACTTCTGGTAAACTAAGAAAATGTAAAAGCATGTTTGTAGAGTTGATTTAGGGAACGTGTACTATTTTTGAAATACAAATACTACTCTTAGTTTTTCTAGGCAGTGTTTTAATCCATTTTTTTAATGTACTGTTATATCAGTGTACAGTGCTAAATGCAGCTCATCATCCTCTTCCATTGTTTGGCTCAAAGAAATGTGGATATGGTCTTATAACTGAGATAATCTGGTGGTCAACAGGAAGACAAAAATTCCAGAAAGGAGAATTTTAGGTGTTGCTGTGATTTACTTTTGTAATTTCATTGCAGGCCAGAAATAAAATAACTGGTTTGCAGTCTCCTTCCCACTGCCTGTTCTGCACCTTTACTCCCCCCGCCCCCTTTTTAAAATTTTGTTGCAATGGGAAAATTCCAAGACCCCTTCCTGTTAAATTTGCTGTATTTATATATAGGCTGTTTAAGGCAATTTGTTCACAAAAGAAATTACAAAAGTTTTTCTGTCCAAGACGATGTGGTATTGTTTCTCTTTTATCCTCTGCAAGGCTTAACAAGTATGGGGAATAACACGCTTGTGGTTTCCTCAGCCACTTCAGTCCAAAATCTCTTCGTAATTTGGCTACTTCCATAAGGCTCAGTTTTGACCTTCATTGTTTTTAAAGGTTTTATTAGTATTTGATGCACAGCTGTACATACTTTCTAATTGGCAGCCTACAGTGAGTTATTCCGGATGTTTGCTTTGCTGTGCAGATACAAAGAACAGGGTCTTCATTTCCAGTAACTTACTGAATCAAGTTTAGCCGTGAGTGGATAAACATGTAAGTATGTTTATCAAGTCACTCTTATTTAACCTTAGGAGTTGGATCATGCTTTTTAGGAGAGGAAAAAAAAGTCTTGGCACTTAATTCCTTGTGTGATGCATGATTTTGGGGGGTTTTCTGTTTGGTGGGGGCAGGTGGTTTTATTTACTAAAGGTATGGATTGAAAGCACAGATGAAAAGTTCAGAGCAGAGACAAATTTCAAAAGTTAATTTCTGAAAGGCCTCATGAAGATTGACATTTATATCTCTTGTGCCTTTCCCTAATTCGTCTGAGTGAAGTGTTTGAAAACAAGCAGCCAAGAGCATGTGTTTGCATTCTTCGAAGTAAAGCTTTCTTTAGACTTTCCTGTACTTTTGTCAAGTCTTTGGTTGACTTGCCCAGACCTTCTTGCTGTAGGGAACATTGAACAGCCTTGGACAGCCTTGGACACTTGGACAGTTGATAACAGTGACTGTGTAACAAAGCAATTTGGGGCAAATTCTGTTAATTTACTGCACACCTAAAGTACTATTTGAACTGAGATTCCTAGAAGTAGACACTTGGAAGTCTTACTTTAGTGATTCTGAATACTTCTGCAGAAACCCATTTATTCAGGTAAACAATTCCAAGAAAGCGTACAGTTACTGAACTCCACCAGTTTCGATGTTTCCACAGAACTTTTGGGATTTATCTATTTATTTAATTTTTTCTAATTAAGTCCATTTGGTAACCCTGAGTGATACTGTTTCTGTGGGATCAGGTGTGTAGTGTTGCCTGGGTAAAGATAAAATATTTATGGAATATGATCCTGAGTTCTGAGTTGTGTTAACATTCACGAGGGAATACCTAAACTTGTTTTCTGAATTGTAACTGATTTTGGATTTTAATTCATTTCTGCAGTTCTTCTTACTCCAGTGCTATGGTCTGTTCTAACAGGGGATTTGTCATTCTTGTCTATCCTCCCATCTTCTCACTTTCTGCACAGGCTTGTAAAAGAGGGAATTCGGATATAGTGCGGCTTATGATTGAAAGTGGAGCAGACTGTAACATTTTGTCAAAGCATCAGAACAGTGCGCTGCATTTTGCTAAACAATGTAATAATGTACTGGTGTATGAGCAGCTCAAGAGTCATTTGGAAACGTGAGTAAACTGTACTTTATTCTGGTGAAGTTTGCAATACTGGGCATGTCATAATTATGGGCTTAAACACTGAATAAAAAGATGAAGAGAAGAAAAGGGAATTGCTAGAGGTGAAAGATTCTTTGAACTAGAAGTACAGCAATCAGGAAACTAAAAAGTGTATAAGCACTGGAGAGTTGAGTGTAAACTCTTGTTACTCGTATCTCCTGTAAAAGTGCCAAATGCTGTTAGTTAATGTGATCTCTCTTTCGAAGGCTGCTCACTTAAATTAGGGCCCCCTCCTCCCCCCCAATGCCAAAACCAAACAAAAAACAAACCCCAATTTCGCTACTTAATGGTAGTGTTGCTACTTTTTCACTGCATTTTAGAGCAGTTAATTTGAAACAGCATTTTTACAATAGTATTGCCAGCAGAATTATACAGTGACTCATGTATTTATTTTTACATTGCACTTGCAGTCGGTTCGTAAGCCAGCCACACCAGGGAAGTGCTTATCTGCTTCTCTTTAGCCACTTGAGTACATGACGATGTTTTGGGGACGTCTTACTTCATAAAGAGCCTTCGAAGGATGTGGCTAGTTGGAGTCTGTTTTTTTTAAATGCCACAGTGCATTTGTCTCAGCTTTTTATTTTTGTGGACCTGACATTAATTTCACAGATCACTGATAAACTGTTTTATTAACAAAGTATTGGGGCTTGGGGTTCGTCCATGCATAAATGATGATGAAGTGATGAAGGCATTCACTGCTGAAAATCAGGAATCCAGAAAGGTAATCTGGAATCCTTTTTCGTGTCTGGTAATTTTCCTATTTGGAGTACAGGCCTTGCTTGTTTGGTCTTTTAGGCTCTCAAGAGTAGCGGAAGATACCATCAGAGATTATTTTGAAGCTCGTCTTGCTTTGCTGGAGCCAGTCTTTCCAATTGCGTGTCACCGTCTCTGTGAAGGTCCAGACTTTTCTACAGAATTTAACTATAAACCCCCACAAAATGTGCCAGAAGGTAGGGTTTGTTGTTGTGGTGGGGTTTGTGTTTGTTTTTTTTTTAAAAAAGGTAGAACAGTGTGTTAAGAAACCGCTTTTTAAGTATGTCTTAAAGTATCTGCTATGCAAAATTATGTATTTATGACTTGTTGTATTGCAGCACACTACGTTAAGGATGCTCTGGAGATGCTTATGGAGTATAGGGAGAGCAGCCATGTCTTGATGCATTGTGGGTGGGATCTGTGTGTAATTTTTTTTAAGAGGTTTTGTATTACAACATACACAGCTTCTTTCGTCTGTTCATGGGTTACGGTAGCTTTGTGAGGGTTACCTTAACTAAGTGACAGGTGTTATAGGAAAGGAGTGGTTTATCTTAGAATTAATAATTTTGAAAAATCTTAATCTAAGAGCATACTTAGAAAATGTCGTAGCGGATCATCTTGTTTTGTAGACAGTACCTAATGCACTGGAGTCTTGGAGTATAGTCACAGCACTGTCATGATGCCAATGCAGTCTAGGAATACTATAAAAAAGAAGCCAGCTTCACTTAACTCTGTTTTGCCCATAGACCCTTTGAATAAGCTGGGAATCAAATTCCCAAGATATTTGGGAATGTTTCTTCATTCTTTCAGGAATCCAGATACTCGTCTCCGATGCGTGGCTTATCTGAGTCATTTTTATTCACCTTTTGAGTATATCAGGGAAATATCTGCTAATACTGACTTTGCTTGAAATAATACACGAATGTGACTGAAATACTACTTCAACTAAGATTGGAAGTGGTTATGTCTGTCCAGTTTTCTGGTTGTTAAGAGTTGTAATGTAAGTCTTCCAGTTCTTGATTATAGGTATCCCTTACAGAATTAAGAAACCTTCTATAAGCTCATATATTAAAAAAAGGCTTTTGTGAGTATTCAGGGTTGTTGCTTACTGAATTTCAGTGCAGTTCATAAAGATCTATCATTGACGGGGCTCATTTGTCCCTACCAATAGAACAGACAACCCAAACCACATTAAATTCCATTCTCTTTAGGTAAACCTAAAACCACAGAGGTGAACCATACTGAGGATTCCCGTATCCACTTTCCTTTCTAATAGCCACATAAAATTATTTCTGTTGCAAAAAGACCTTAACTTAGTGACCATGTCAGCTGTGTTCTGAGCTGGGATCCACTGGCTTAGGATGGCGTGGGAGACTGCATTTCTGCCAGTAATATTTATTTATATATATATTTGTACCTATCTATCTTCAAACATTCAGTGTATGCAGTTGTTCTAAATAATGGATCTGGTTTCAAATTCATGTGACTGAATTGATTTCCCTTTCAGGATCTGGAATTCTTCTCTTTGTTTTCCATGCAAATTTCTTTGGTAAAGAAGTCGTTGCTCGGCTCTGTGGACCATGCAGTGTACAAGCTGTGGTTTTAAATGACAAATTCCAGCTCCCTGTATTTTTGGTAAATCTTTTCATATAACTGATTGACTGTAAAACTGCTTTATAAAGTCCTTATGGAGCAGCCTGGGAAATCTTAGGGCCTTAATTTTGAGTATTGTGATGAAGCATTTCTTTATCATGATAGTTTTTGTTTTGTTTTGTTTTTAATTAAGCTTAATTCTTCTTTGTATATGGAGATAACTATAAACCTTGCATAGGTTAGACTTCATAAAAATTTATGCCTTAAAAGGCAGGGACTTAGTGCTGGACAACCTGCTTCTAGGTGGCCTTGCTTGAGCACCAGATGGTGCCTGGCTGGACCAGATGACCTCCAGAGGTCCCTCCCAACCCTTCTGTGATTCTCTGACTTCAGAACAGGGTTTGAGCACGCAAGTGAGAATTCTGATTTTGAAATTGTTTCACTTCTCAAATTCACCTAGCCTCTCAAATTTTTGACCCAAGTAAGTTCTTAAATGTAACTATTTTGCCTTAACAACCAACCTTATATTTCTAATGATTAATTCCTATTATTTTTATTATTTATTTATTTATTTATTTATAAATCTAGTAATTGCATCACTGTGCATGCTTTGTGAAGTCCTCTTATTTTCTCTGTGGTTGCACCGAAGGTTCTTTCCAGTATACACATCTTTCTTTAAAAAAATGCATAGTTAAAGATGTTGTGGTCTGTTAGTCCACTTTCATAGCACTTCCAGCCATATCCTGCCATTAACTTTGTCCATTTTCTTTTTCCTTTTAGGATAGTCACTTTATTTATTCCTTCAGCCCTACTCCAGGCCTTAACAAGCTTTTCATACGGTTGGCAGAAGCTCCTACTGCCAAGGTACAAAAATGCTCTAAAAATTAAATGTGTACATGAATTTGTTGTACAATAACTCTTCCATAGTCTAAATGCTTCCCTGTTCTATGTTGTAAATGTAAAACTAAGGACTTCCCACCATCTCTTCATCCCAGTTCCATCCTGTGACATTGCCAGAACTTAGGAACATTGCTGAGGGTGTTAGTTCTGTCATAATTAAATGTTTTCATGCTGCAGTCAGAATAATTCATGCACCAGGATGAAATAATGTTACAGCTAAATGCTTTCCCCTTCTGTATTGTGAATTTAATGGCTAACAGATACGTGGAGTCTCAGTTTTTGCATGCAGATGTTCTTGCTTGTGTGCTTGGGGGAACTTGGAAGTCTAGGATATGCAGTCTGCTTTTAAACAGTCTGTATAGTCTGTTGTATTTTCCAGGTGGTTTGGGCAGTGGTCCCACTACATGCTGCAAGATGAATAACTGATCCTGTTCTGGTAGCATTTATTTTTATCCTTGGAAGATGCACCAGTAAATTTTTTGAGATCTTCAGATTTAAAACTTACACTCTTAAAAGTTTTACTGTGGGTTTGTGTGTGTGTTTGTTTGTTTTTTGAAAAGGGAAAAAGTTGATCTCATGTTCAGATGAAGGTGTATGTGTATGCCTAGTTCAGATTTGGGGCTAACCTGCTTACCACTGCCTGATGCAGCAGTATTCTACTGGAGTCCTGTTACAAGCCGTTCATACTTCAGCAGGGCTGCTATAAACTGATTTTATTAAACATAATTGTAAATTCTTTTTTTTTCTTCTTTGTTAATCCCTAGCCATTGTATGCCTCTTCTTATGCTTTTCTTATATTACAAGTAGTGTTTAACACAGTAGTTACATGTGAACAATCTTTGTTTGCTTTTGCAGGTAAAGCTGCTAATAGGTGCATACCGAGTGCAGTTGCAGTGACCTCACGGCTGCGAGTGTGCAGAGTGGACTGATGCTTTTTTTTTTTATATACTCCTGATTCCTCTGTTTAGAGGCTGACAAAGCAGTTTGGAACTTTTTGGCACCACACTCTTTAAGTTTCCATCTCACTGTCACACATTGGCAGTCACATAGGAAAGTGTGTATTAGAGAGCTGGTGGGACAGGGTTGTCAGCTTTTTTGTACTTTGTACAGATGTAGATGTAAGTATTTGTGCCAATACATATAATTCTGTTTTTCTTTAACGCATGGAGTCCAGACTGCATATTTCAGCTTTTCCACAATGTGGAACGGTGCATATAAGAACTATTTAAGGTAATGATGTGAAATGTCTTTTTTAATAGAAAGATCTTTTCCATTTGTAAACTAAAAATTTCTACTTACTCTAACTGTAATGTTTATAAGTAAAATGCAGAACTGTCATATTCTTGGAGCTGTGGGCAGAAATTACACTTGGAAGTCACTGCATTAGATTTAACTTTGAATTGCTGAGGGCTGTGTTCTGGTTTGAAACTCTTCCTGCTATTGTCTCCCAATGAGAAAGCAGTTGTGCTTGGAGTGGTTCCCTTTGAACAAACAGTTAGGTCTGCAGGTATGAACTAAGGCAGCTGAATAAGCTCAACTCATAGAGGATTGCGGTCAGATTCCTAGTTACATCAGTGTTTTAAAACTATTTTTGTATTAGAGAAGCAACTGATAGTTTTACAGGTGTCTTAACTAACATTTGAGTTCTTAGGTGACATACGGGAAAACAAATAAATACAAGCTGAAAATAGCAAACCAGGAAACTTGTAACTACCTTGAATGTGCAGGCAATGCTTTTTGTAGACAAGAAGATATGAAGAGGATTTCAGATGTTCTCAGCCTGACAGATGAGAACATGCATTGTCCTTTAATTCAGAAATTCAGTTCCTCAGTGCAGAGAGCTGCTATATATATTTTTTTCTTTTTTTATTAAAGTGACCTATTTTACCACATCACAGCAGTTATGTAATGGTCCCATGCTATAAAATACAAATGTAAGACTTCTGCATGAAGTACAGAATATTTTTCTTTGTAAATTAACCAACATCTTGAAAAGTAAAAGAAAAATAGAGGAAAAAAAATCCAGATTGTGCCTTTGCTGTTCTGGTTGCTACGTGTAGTTTACATGCCACTATGTGCCTATATTATTAGCAAAATTATAGTGGGTAAATTCCTAATGGATGTGAGTGCTCACGATCAAAATGGTGCAGATGTATTAAGTACCCTTTAAGAACTGTGACTTTTTAATATTTCAGTTAGCCAGTTTTTAATTTTAAAAAGTATGAAAGTTTAAAACTTTCATATTTGAGAGATGCCAAATGAGTAAGTAACAAAGCAGATGCTACTTGAATTTTGTGGAATGTCACATTAAGCTATATAAAACTGGAACAGCAACATGACATACAAATACTCATTTCTGTTTAGATTTAGAATAGTTGCCTTTCTGCAAACAGTATTGATGGGATGTTAACAAGTCTGGGCTTTGAACAGACTTGGTACCTCCACCTCTGAAATATGTTGGATACCTCATTTACTAAGTGTGAACACCTGAAATGCTTGAGAATCAGGTATGTCACTACCAGCACTTGGGACTTTGTGTAGCTGTGTTTCTTTTTTAGTCACTGTGTATAACCTTTCAAGATGAAAAAGGAATGGGGATATTCCTAAGTGTTTCCTTATGTTGGAGTGACAGTTTTCATGTATGTGGCTGCCCCTTCCCCAGTTACTCCACAATAGGGTGTGTGTGGGATAAGCGCTGTACAGCACCGGTAAATGGTAGAGCTGTCCCTTGGTATAAATGTCCATAGAGTATAGATGCTATTTAGAAACTGTTGTATAGTCTAACTTAAAAATGTCTGGTAATGCTCCAAGAGTTGATATAGCAAGTAGTTTGTCAAAGGCAGTTGATTTGGGGGGGGTTTATTTTGTTTGGGGTTTTGGTTTGGTTCTTTTTTTTCTTTGAGGCATGTGGGAGAGAGGGAAGAGTTTTACAGGACATGGGAATAATATTTGGTTTCATGGATTTTATTGAGGGATGGATTTTGCAGTCATCCTTCTCTTTTAGTTGGCAGTATAAACTCGAAGTCCCTACTGAAGATGCATAAAAGGCATATGAAAAGATGTTTGAAGATGGTTTTTGTCTGATTTTATTATATCCTTTTTATCCAATTGCTAAGAAAACGGTTTTGGTGGACAAAAGATGAAGAGAAAGTAGCTACAATAAAAAACACTTCTTTAGATGCTGTGGAGGAATACCGTTGAAGTACTTGCTCAGTTTCTTGCTGCTGTCTGTCAGCAAGGCTGAGCAGCTGCAGTTCCTATAAACTGCACTGGCAATAAATTGTTCTGAAGGCTTGGACTCATTATCTTTCCCTGCTGCTTCATTAGTGCTTGTGTTCCTGGCTTCTTTCACAGATACTGAAGGTTGGTGGGTGATGCAGCTGACTTCAGCACAGGTCCCCTGTGCTTTCTGCACCTGTTTTTCAATAACGAGATTTCTTTGATCAGGCTGGATGGAAGAAAGCTGTTCAGTTGATAGAGGAGACAGCACAGAGTCCAGCTACTCTCCTGGCCAGCTAGGACTGCTCAGAGGGGCTGAGGGCTGTCCTACTATCTTCTGCCTGTCTCTACCTGCTGCAATTCTGTTCTCACCCTGTGCTTCCCCATGCAGTACTGGAAAAAGAGCCACTGTGAAACCTTTCAGTATTTCAGAGCAGCTGAGACAGCACTGCAATAGGAATGCATCATGCAGGGTCTTTAGTTTTGCAGAGTCTCCCTCTGTAATGTGGAGCTGTAATGAAGTCTTACCGTTTAAGAATCCAAGAGAACTATAAAGGCCCCATTTTTCTAAGCTACTAAGGTGCAGCATGGACATGCACTGCAAGCCCATCACCAAATCCTGACACTTGAAAATTCCCCATCATTTTTGTCTCCCACAAAAGTGGGGAAAATAGTTTTCAGATGCTGAACCTGTCTTAAAATGTTTGAATGAAAGGCAAAGACAAGGATTAGGAAAAAGATACTAAAAGCAGACAGAAGACAGGGTGGAATATAACTTTGACCAGGACTGAGGCAGCGGTAAAAATTAGGGTTAAAAAAGGGGTTCTTAAAAAAATAGTCTCAAACACATCAACTGTAGCAGCTCAGGGGAGAGGATCAGGCAGAAGATGGTTCTTTTTGATTTCAAGTCAACTGTTTCTCCACCGCAGTGTCTCAACTGTTGTGCAGGATAGCTACAACTGGTTTTTTTCCAAGAATTTCTGTAATACGTTGTACGTGATCTGAATTGTAAGGAAGTCCTCTGTGGTTAGTTACTGTTGGCATGGACTCATTTATGGTAGATGCGTCAGACCTTAACATGGCCTCAGCTCCTCTTCTTGTGCATGTCACTCTTAAAATGATGGTGAGCACAGCTCGGGCTTTTCAAACAGTGGAACCATGTGTATGGGAATGGAAGACACTGTCACCAAACCCAGGGAGACTACTGCCTGCTCCAGAAGTGGAGGACAGTATTACCCATGTGGTGACATCCTGATCCTGTACCACAAACCCTCACTTTCTGACAAGTCTTGGTTCCTGGAGCTGTTACTTCTACAGACTTTCAGTAGCCCCAGGGAGAGAATAGGAATTTGAGGAAGAAAAGCCCTGTTAGGCCCATTACAGCAGTTGCATCTCTTACACTGAATGCAGTCACCTGCTCTGCCTGCCCCAAACACTAACAGCCAGAGCCCCAGCTTGCACTCAGATGCAAGAGATATGCAACCATTTGAAATGTCCCTTGCCTTCCTGGATCAACCAGCTCTGCTGTCTTAATATTAAACAGTTCATATTTGTGTAAACAGCAGGATGATGATCCCTAAACCAGACGAGAACACTGCCCCACACAACCCCCCCAGACTGGGCCCCCTGCATTCACCCTTCCTGAAACAGAAGAGTTACCAGAAACTCCCCATGGTTCCGCAGGGTGGGGAGACAGTTAAGTACAGCAGGACAGTACCAAATTGCTCTATTTTTATTACTGACATGATGCAACAGTTCACATACACTGAAAATTATACAAGCCTTCCTCATTACTCTGCACCACGAAGATGAGCCTGGCTCCATCTTCTCTACCCCCTTCCATTGCACAGCTGAAGCAAAGACTTCCTAGCCCCTGACCTCCTGTTTTCTGACTGAACCATCTGCCCCCATGGCTCCTGGGTCTAACCTCTTGATCATCTTGGTGGCCTCCAAAGGAGTTCTTCCCATAGATATCTTGTCTTCAGGAGCCCAGCACTGGTCACAGGGCTCCAGTTGCAGTTTCAGAAGCACTGAATAGAGAGGAGAGTTTGCTTTCCCTGCCCCTGCCCAGCTGTGCTCTTCTAACTGAGCCCAGGCTGGAGCTGGACATCTTCATCTTCACTTGTCCCTCAGGACTCCCTGATCATCTCTGCAAAGCTGCTTTGCCATCAGTCTGTGCTCAGGCTGAACAACTGCATCCAGATAATTTGGAACCTGCTGCTGGACTTCACATATGCCTTGTTTGAACTTGGTGAGGCTCCTGTCAAGCTCTCAATTGATGTTCACTGCCTTGTTGATTTCAGGAAATAGAAAATAAACATCCTGTTATTCATAGAATATTCTCAAACAGTTTTATAATAAGTATAGAAACCTGGAAAAAAACCCTGGTGATCTATGACTGTGCAGTGTTATAATCTGATCACATCAAAATTCCTTTTTTGTTATTCATTTCATTTGTGGTTTTTAATCTTTTTATTGGGCTACAGTAAAACAGGCATTTTTATTAAATGCCTATCAAACCTTCCAACTCAAATTTAACTTCACAGACAGTGAAATCTTACTGCAGCTCGGATCTCCCCCCTGGGTAACCTTTCCTTCCAATCCTTTTCAACTGTTGCTGGCTCATACAATTTTCTCTAGGTAATTATTACATCTGTGCTCTTTTAAACCCTGCTGCAACTTAAACACAATCTACACTACTGTGTTTTCTTTAAATATAAAAACCACTGCTTTACTATCTTTTGTCACATATTTTAGTGCTTGCAAATACTTTTAGTCATTTAACTCTAAGGGGTTTAAGTCCAAAACCAGTCATTTAACCAAGGAACAGTCTTGTAATATCTCAGTTACTTTAATTCCTGTTCTGGCATGTACAGACTTTAATCACCACCATTTCCCAGCACTAGTATTGGAGATCCAGAAAGAAAATCTGCTTCCAGTACAGTCTAGATAAAAAGGGAGTGAAGACCTCAGTTACACAACAAAGTTGGCCAACATCAGCTTGACTATGAAATGCTCAACTGTGCTTCACACTGGGTACCACCACCTCTGCCAGAAGCTGAGGACAGGATCATCACACAAGCTGTAACTTGTCTCCTCGTGCAGGAACAGGCATCTTGAGCCCCACAAGCAGAA